CACCATACATGCCAGCCATCCCTCCCCATAACTCGCGGTTATGATATACATAGAGTTGCGAATATCCAATAATCGCGTTTGCTTTTAGAGTTGCGAATTGTTATTTTTCGCGTTTCCTTTTCAGGGTAGTGTTACGAATAATTATCATTCGCGATTGTTTTCATGCAAACTTAGATACCGGGAGTTTGCTTTAAAAGTAGCGTTGCGAATTATTGATAAACGCGATTGCTCGTAGAGTTGCGAATTACCATTTTTCGCGTTTCCTTTTCAGGGTAGTGTTGCGAACAATCACGATTCGCGTTGCTTTGTTACTCTTTTATACATATAATGGACATCAACCGCGTTTGCAATTTTCATACTATAAATTAGCGTTGCGATCTTGATCAATCGTGCGATTTTTTCTTTAGAGTTGCGATATTTTCAATGCCCAAATTCTACCCTAACTGTAGTAATAGAAGTAGTTAGTTTATTTAGTGGCCAGTACATGTATATGTACATGTACCAATAGCCCCTGATTAAAGTTAGAGTTGCGAATAATATACAATGTTCGCGTTTGCTCGTAGAGTTGCGAAAAAATATTTATCGCGTTGATATATCAGTGTTGCGAATAAATACGATTCGCGATTGTCTTTATGCAAACCTAGGGACCAGACGTTTGCTTTAAAAATAGCGTTTCGAATTATTAGTAAACGCGATTGCTGTTAGAGTTGCGAATTACTATTTTTCGCGTTTGCTTTTCAGGGTAGTGTTGCGAATAATTACCATTCGAGGTTGCTTTTATTGTTACAAGTCGCGTTTGAAATTTTTCTATTATAAATTAGAGTTGCGATTGTTGATTTATCGCGTTGTTGCCCCGTAGTGTTGCGATATTTAAAACGTCTAAATTCATCCCCACATGAGCCACTCTACAGTAGTTAATAGTAATTAGAAGTAGTTAGCATATTTTCTGCATGTATGTTTGCATCAAGAATGGACGTCGCCAGCACCAAGATCCAGCATTTTTGGGCAAAACGCGATTTGCATTAGCGTTGCGAAACATATATATTTCCATTAAAGATAGAGTCGCGAATATACAATAATCGCGTTTGGTTGTAGAGTTGCGAATTCCTATTTTTCGCGTTTCGTTTTCAGGTTAGCGTTGCGAATTCCATACGCGATTGCTTTTATTGTTATTTAAGAATAGCGTTGCGAATGAACTGATCGGTTTGCTCTTAGCGTTGCGAATTACTATTTTTCGCGTTTACTTTTCAGGGTAGTGTTGCGAATAATCACCATTCGCGGTTGCTTTTATTGTTATAAATCGCGTTTGGAATTTTTATATTATAAACTAGCGTTGCGATCTTTACTTGTCGCGTTTTTTATCAATTAGAGTTGCGATTCAATGCCCAAAAAAGCTGGCCAAAACGCTGGCCACTGCACCAGGATCATCACGATGCAGCTGCGATTCAAAAAAGCCTCGAATGGCTCAACATTATTATTAAAATTAGTGTTGCGTATGATTGAATATGGGTGCACGCGATTTAATTAATAAAGGAGTCCTGTGTGATTCATTTTACGAATAATAAGCACCACTCGCGTATAGTTTTATATTTTATAAATTAGCGTTGCGAAAGAAATCCACTCACGGGTTGTTTTTTGAATTTATGAGTGGAAAATATATCCTTTTCTTTATATCTTTGTCAATGAAAACACTGCTTGAAAGTACTGGTGTAAATAGACCAATTATTTTCTTTTTCAAAACGTGTTAAAACCAGTAATTTTTATGAATATATTTTTATCACAGATTTGTGATGCATTTAAAAATGCTGTATTGTAATTAATTGTGTCATAGATTAAATTCATGATTCATATATGTATCACCAATTATTCATTATTAGAGTTGATAATTTTTACGGGATATAATAACCTTTTCAACCTAATTGTTATTTATAAATAGTGGATTTTTTTATAAATATTCTGTATTCTTTGCATAAATCAAAGTTTGCTCGCGATCATTGTTTTAATTGATGGAAAATAGAATGCTTGTATCAAAAGGGTATGCAAATTGCAATTCGATATTTCATATTGAGAGTTAATTTCCGCGTAGAATCGACATTTTCGATCGCTATTGCTTGTTCTGTATGAACTTAATTTAGTTTTGAATACAGTAAAATATAATTATTGCAATGTATACGTCGTGAAAAATTTTTTATTTGATAAATGAATATTTCGTATTTATCTTAACACTGAGACGAATTTAACTTTTCATTTAATTTCAATTACATAGTATTTATGTTTTTAAACTCTTTAATATCAATTTTTGCTCGTGGAAGCTTCAGTTCAAATATTAATTTCATAATATCATAATATTATTTTTTTCTGTGTCCATTAATACACTTTCATTTCAGTTATTAATCCTTTGAACAAGTTCTTGTTACAGGATATAAAATCATTGAAGAATGGAATTGGAAATAGTACACGGATTCCATCTTGATCGTTCTTAGAAAAATATTTCATACAATTTTATTTATTGTCTGATTTATGTTTCAGGGAAACATCGTGGGATTAATCAAGACACCAAGAAGAAATATTTTTTCATATTTATTTGTTTTATATGAGTTACATATTTTATTGGATGAGTTTTTGTTTCAGGAAAACATCGTGGGAGTGACGAAGACACCAAGAAGAAAATATCTTGTCATATCTTCGTTTTATATCGGTTATATTTATTGTATATGAGTGTATGTTTTAGATAAACATCGTGGGATTGATGAAGACACCAAGAAGAAAATATTTCATCATATTTCTTCATGTTTCTACAGATTGCGTTAGAACATAAGTACAAATGTATATAGATTATAAGATAAAAAAGCGTTCTCCTGTCGTTTGTTAAGTATTACCGAAACGGTGCGTAAATTTAAGTGGGAATTAATATTAAGATAGATATTAGTATTCTAATATGCAAGGTCCATACGTGCAGTTGCACATTTATGGTTGGATCTTCAGGATCCTTTCTTCGTTTTGTACGAGTGTCTTGTTAGACACTGTCATAATGCAAGTATTTATTTCAGAAGGAACAATTAGGATTGAAGTACACATTGATACTTTAGTAATCAGGATTCGTACGTGCAGTCGCACATTCCAATTTCGTTTCTAGAAAACATGTGCTGGTTTATCTCACACGTATCAACATTTTGTTAGGTTTTTGATCTCTTCATCGATCAGAGTTCGTACGTGCAGTTGCACATTCCAATTTCGTTTCTCGAAAACATGTGCTGGTTTATCTCACATGTATCAACATTTTGTTAGGCACATTTCAATTTCGTTTCTAGAAAACATGTGTATCATCTCACATGTATTGACGTTTCGTTAGGCCTTTCATCTCTTGATTGGACAGTTCTTTTAAGAACTTGTTCCTTTCTAGCTCATTTCTAACTTTTCGATAGTTTCTCTCTTGGATAGGTATTCGAATTCCTCGCCAAAGGAAGGGTGGTTGGGGCGAGGCTAGGGTGGGTCTCCATTCGCAGCAACCTCCTCGTGGTGAGACCCGGGTCATATTATTTAATATGTAATTAATATAATTATTAATTACATAGCAAATAATATGAGCTAATGGCTGCGTTCTTCTTATAGTTCCACATACCTTCTTCGTCCTGGTGTGCGGTCTAATAACACTGATTTCGAGTCGCAAATACGTTTTTGCCGAGTTAGTTTTTAAATAAATAATACATTACAATTTAAAATAAAAAATAGAGGATTTGCGGTGTATTTATCAATGAGATCCTTACGTATCTTAATAATTTTGAAATCTTTAAATAATTTCAATCGATTGGTTATTCCAATAAAATTAATCGATTGATGCTCAATTCTGGACCGTACAGCTTTCATTCCGTTAAAAAATAATAAAATTTATGTAATTTTATTTTCTGTCTCACTTCCTCTTGTGTTAATTTCTGAATCTGTTGATAACGTTGCGAGTGACACGAAAATGGTAATGGGGTCCCGGGATCCCAGAAACTCGGGCCGAAAAATTGCATTAGGTAAAAAAGGTCTATTCATATACCTCGTCTGTGGTGAAAGGTCTACTCGTATACCTCGTCTGTGCCTGAATCACAGAATGTTTTTATTTTTATGTACAACAGGAAACTTCCTTATTAATCGAGTGCAACTTCTATGGCGACATCTAGAGTAAAATACACACAATAAACTTTTTATGCAAGTTTTTTGTTGACAAAGTTCATTTTAATTGTATATAGATTTGTTCGTAATAATAGTTATTATTATAATAATTATCAGTTGATTCAGTATGTAGTTAAACTTTAAACTTTATTTATAATTCATAAACAAAGGTTTATTGACACCTTTTAATTTAAACTAATTACAGATATTTATCTTTCAGATACCAGTTAATCCGATTTCTACTGATTACTTGAACCGTCGTAAGAGATATATAATTAAAACAATTCGTAACAGTATTATCTTAGGCTTTGAATTAGTAATTTAAAGTCCATCTTAATACATTGTTAACATAACTGATATCTTCATAATACCTTCTCAGAATCGTGTACTGTAGCCACAATAACAATTCAATATATTAACTCTATTATCAGTATTATTAAAATATAATGCCTCTAACATGTATCCTCAAACATTCTGAACTTACACCGTAATATAACAATTGAATAGAATCTTGCTGATTAGTTTTAATACTATAATATTTAGTTTGTCAAGGCATAAACTTATCGTTGGGGGTAAAGGCAAACTTTTGCGGACTAAGATCTTGTAAAAGAATTATTGTACAACATTTACCCTACCATCGAATATTGGGAATAGCGTTTGCCGTTCGCAGCCCTCTGGTGATAATTCCAGGCGATTTCTCTTCAGACGGTGGCGACGCTCGGCGGCGCGTAGCGGCAGGAACGTTCCCTTCCCAGTCGCTAGCGAATCAACGACTACATTCACGCTGCGGTGGAGCATTTATACGGGTGGACTGCAACTAGGCGCTTTAGTCTCTGGTTGGGACGCGACGCGTGAGTATGGGGTACGAGTGTAGCCCGCCTGGCGTGAACAGCATCGAGAATTGAAAACAACCGACGAAACGTGAACTGAAATTGCATGACACGATCGCCACGTGTGGAAGGGTCGCGATCCTGTCTCACCGTAAGCATCGAGCCTTTACCGCGATACCCCGGACGGACTTACACAACCGATCAGTCGCAAATGCACAGGTTAATCGATCGTGTGTAATAAACGAATAGTCGTACCGACGTCGCCCGATGTTTAAGTAGCGGTGTCTCGCGCGCGCGAGAGATCGAGACGATTTCGAAGTTAAATCGTTCGTCGATGCGAGACTACTCGCGTGTGCCTGACAGGGATACGTGAAGAAGGTTTCTCTCGTGGACAACGGGCTGGAAAAAGGTGAGTGAAAAGTATCGATTCATCGTGACGAAATTTACGTCTATCGTTCTGTCCCGCGTTTTCCGTCGGCGTGTCGGGAAGCACGATTCGCGCGACCGTAGTCGATAATCGGTCGACGATTTTTTTTAAAATTATTGCATACCAGTTGTTTTTAAACGATCGTCTCTTTCGATACTCGCGGACACGGGGAACTTTATTTCTCTCCATAATCGCCACGTTTCGGGACAGAGTCGGGAGATGTTAGCTTATCGCCGGACAAACGATGGGGCAAAATTTCGTTTCAATATTAAACGATTTGTTCGCGATGTTCGTTGGATTTCAGTTGTTCGTGCGACGAAATTGCGTTGGTGATTATGAACGTGAAGTACCTTTATGTTTTGTTGATTTGTATTTTAATATTTTGCCTAAATAATCGAACTTTCGTATTCGAGACCCCCGTTTGCCGAGTCGATGTATTTCAAAAACGGGAAAAGTTTTCAACAATGCGTATACCGTGGAAAGGTGCGTCGCATGATGCGGACACACGCCTATAACTTTGTTAATTGTGCGAATCCAGCAGTATCCATCGATAGAAATATTTTCGAGGCCACATACTTTCAGGAAACGAAATAAAAATAAATAATTTTTTAAGATTCTCATCTAGAGTAAAACAAATCGTTTGCCCGTAACATGAAAATATTTTTTATTATAATCAAACGTATGACTTCATTCTGTAATCGAACTTTGTATTCAATTGATACATAACTTATACAATCATCGTACAACAATTTACTCACGACGTTCATTGATACAATTAGATTTTTATATTTGTCCATTGTGAAACGTTCCCATTCTACGATAGAAATTATTTATTTTCGTTTCGTGAGTAATTTATCTTTAACTCGTTATTCGAAATTCTTATCTGGATAAGAGTTGTGTCATTCAATGTCTCCGAAATGGCATTTGGAGTTCTCAGAACATCATCTAACTTTTCGTGTAACGGATTAGCACGAAGATTCGATCTATAATTTTTGAATGTGTTATAGAGATTATCGTGGCAAAGATAGATCGTAGGTTTTATTGAGACATTGACAATTAGCTCGGTCGATTCGATGTTGTCTGGTTAAACGAGAAAAAGATGCGAGATAAGTTTGTCGGCGCGATGACGGCTCCGCTTTAAATAGGCCCGTAAATAATCGTTAAAAACGGAAACAGTGGCCCAAAGATGCCGTTGTCAAAGTATCGGTTTAGCGCGGTAAATATTTGTCGAGTAAATATTCCTCTTTCACGAATTGCTGGTCACGGAACCGATCGAAGTTTGCGTTTTGACTTAACGACACGTAATGCATTGTTTATATTCTTCGGTTTTAAATCGAAGGCAAACAATTTTAAGTGCACTGGATTTTAATGATTTTTATATGGAATCGAAGCTTTATTAATTTGACCGGAATAGACGTATAATATCAGATCTTTAAACACGTTTGGTCTGTAAATATTATTGTTATTTGTTTTCTCGGGTTCGTGACCGTTTCAAAAAGTTTGTGTATTATTTTTGCACCGCTATAAAATGATTTATTTAATTTTTTAAGCACTTTTATCTTCATTTTTACTGTCAATCGTTGACACTATTGACGTTGGTACACTTTTCAATTAGCGGTGACTATAATTCTATTGTTCTCCCTTATCATTCGTTATCTTTACATTTTTGACCACATACTTAAAGATATTATCTCCTGCGCAGAAGTCATTTCTAGAATCTGTGGTGCTAGAAAATGACGAACCTAGGCAAACCATACGCGACATCACAATTTTTGTTGAAGAGGACTCGAATCAAGGTTCGGCCGTTTAAATTCAATATTTATATTTAAATTGTGCTCGCAGCGGGCCTCGTTATTTTTATATTTCGTAGTTTGTCAAAGCGTTTTTATCGTTTAAAAAATTCCCCGCCCGTAGAACGAAATATTTTTGTCGATACCGTTATTGAAGTCTATTTTTAAATCGCGCCACCTTAAAAGTCTCAATAAGTTTTCTCAAAGACCGACGCTGACTCACCTGTTCTCTGCGCGTTTAAAACGCGCTTAAAAGGCAAATGAGGTGATTAATGTATCGTCGTGTAGCAGTTAGGAACAAATAAATCGTTCTGTACAATGATAGGTTCTTCTATTGCGACGCTGCGTCACGATGCAGCGACAGATAGTCTCGGTTGGATAAAAAAACGCCGCTCGTACCGAATGACTAGACTTTGACTTCGAATTGATAGTTTTCGCGATAATGTTTTGAAAAAGGTGGCTCGTTACCGTTGGAATGTACCGTGAATAATTTATTGGATATTGTATCGCGAATAATTTATCTACGTTGCGTTTTCGCGATTGCACGCTCGAGAATTGTTACATAAATTGTTTTTTTTTCCATCGCATACGTAATGTTAAACGTTTCGATCTTCCATTTAAGTCCTCTCCAACAACAACAATTTTAATCATTGTATACTCGTGTTATAAACAGATCTGCGTACGATTGAAAAGAAAACACAATCCCTAAGATTGTTGCAAGAAGCGAGGGAATGTTGTAGTTCGAGTCTGGACCACAGGTAGCGTTGCTTGTTGTCTTCAAATTTTAAATATGGCCGCGTGCACTACCCGATAGTTCAAAAAGCATTTTCAAACACTGCATACTCACATTGCAAACAGATATGCGTACGATCGAAAAGAAAACGATCCCTGAGATTGTTGCAAGAAGCGAGGGAATGCTGTAGTTCGGGTCTGGACCACAGGGAGCGCCGCGAGTCGTCTTAAATTTTGAACACGGCAGCACGGACTCCCTGGCAGTGTTCTCGGTATCTTATTACGCGAGTATGTCTACACCGTATTATTTAAATCGTACAAGCACGAATTATCCGGGGAGTAATACAGATAAAACCAAGCCGGACGTTATCAGGCACGATTAGGCGCGCGGATAATTCGCAGATATACGTGTCGCGATTGCGCCCGGTCAGGTTCCGCGTCGATCGTTCGGCGGATAGCGCGGCCGATGATTGAATTGCCAATGCAAAGTTACTCGAAGCCGACGCGAAGCGCGAAGACGATCAAGATTAGCGGACAAAGACAAAGAGAGGCGGCTCTCGGAAACCGGCGATCGCGACGAGATTTTCAGCCTGGTGCGCGCCAGGCGTACCAGCCGAGTGGAAACGCGAAACGAGTGTACCGAGATACTTAGCGGATAGTTCGATGTACTTAGATACACTTAGCGGAGATGCACTTTGCCGATAATCGACGAACGTGCAGGCGGCGCGCTTTCGAAAGCTCCGTGAAACTCGCCTACGATCCGGGATGACGGATCCCGATAGCGCGGCTATTTGTCCAGATTTTTTAAACCACGGAATTGGAAATGCTTCGAATCCCACAGGCACGTGACTTTGGGTCGCGTGACGCAAAAAGTGAACTTACGTGCCCCGTTCGAGATCTCCCAACAGCAAAGTTAGCCATTAAAAAAGAGAGAGTTCTAACCCCCCTCCTGCTGAAGTCCAGCATCCCCAAATCGAATCTTTCCATCAGGATCGTTGATAGAAATCGATTTTGTTTTATTGCCCGTTACAGTTGTTGCGTTCCATTGTCGGTATGACAATTTTCACTTCAAAGCGATCTACTGATTCTATTAACATTGTGACCTGTATCAGCCTGAGCTCGACTATAAAATCGCTATCTATCCCTTGGTTAAGTAAATTGACTTCGATTCTTTGAATACAAGAATTCCCTTAGCACGCGTGGCGTGCGAGAATCTGGACCTCGTGCTTGTCAAGTGTATCTTTTCAACGCCCATGGGCGTCTACCGCACAGTGTGTACCGAACATTTATAAATTCCCTACAGCATCTAAAAGGGTTGAAATAGGAATAAAACTCTGAGTAAGCTCCGAGTTAGCTATGCAAATGAAAGATTTAACCTATTTTTGCATGCAATCTGATAACAACGTGATTTCGTATTTAACGAATTTAATACCCGGTGAAGAATAACATAATCGTTGAGAATGTTCATGTTGGATTACCGAGCACAATAGAGAAAGCGGAAGAGATTAATGGAAACGGAGAGTGAAAATTATAATAAATCGCGATAATAAGAAGAAAGGAGGCGCCAGATGGGTAGATAGTCACGGAGATGGATAGAGAGAGAGAGGGAAAGAAGGGGACATTTGCATATTATGTCTTGATACGCAGGTTCCGGGAATGCAAATGAGGCGGTTAAGAAAACTAGTAGGCAAGTAACTGCGCTTAAACAATACTGGCGAAACTATTTGTGCGGGGTAAGGAAAGTCACGTACGAAAATAGCTTTGTATCGAATTTAGAAACTGAACAAAATCGAGTATCGCAATCACGAAGAAAACATTGTAAAACCGTGGACGCAGGGCGAGGGCATACTTATCGTTCGTGATATTGATTAAAACATTTATTGCGAAATGTTCGGGTAAACAGTAATCGGAAGTGGTGTTTCGTAATTTTAATTATTTACGTTTTGATAAAACGAAACATCCGATTGCAATATAACATTTAGTTTTTGATCGAGTCGATACTGAGAGAACTAATCTTGATTAACAGATTGTGCGGTTCGATAACAAAAATAAAAAACAGGGATTGGTATAGAGCGATTCTTCAACTCGTAGACTCGAAAGGAATGCTCTTGCCTGAACATTATGGACAGGATGACTCTCCTTCTGGTACACTCAAAAGGACTGCCGCCGTCCAAACATTGTTATGATGATTTCGTGTATGTATAGTTCGATTCTCTCGTTAGTAGACTGAAAAGGAATGCCGTCGTTTGAATGACGGTCTTGCAGCGACCTTCGGCGACCAGTAGATTTGGTTGCGACTGTAGCGCGCGCGCTCCGGTTAAAAGTGAATGGAGAACCCGCTCATTCACAAGATTTTCTTCTCCTGGAGCGGCACGGTCAGTTTCGCTGGCGCGCGCGTACCGTCGCGGCGCTGCGTCCCCGTTGATACACGCTCACCTGGACGTTCGTGCGGACGCACGC